GAGAGAGAGAGAGAGAGAGAGAGAGAGAGAGAGGATGTGTAGGGTGTTCCTGTATATATATATAATATGTGTAAGTGATTGTGAATATGTATATTTATGTATGTGTAGGAGGATGGGAGAGGCGGGGGAGAGAGGAGTAAAACTCAATCCTCAGTTGGTAATATCAACTTAAAGTTAAAGTAATAATGCCATCGCATCATTGAGGTGAATGGGAAATAACTCTTTCAAATCTATTCATTCATTTTATTTTCCGCATTTGTTTCCCTTTACTCAGATTGAGAACCACGACGACTGTGTCTACGACTATCTTGAAGTCCGTGATGGCCCCTCTGAAATGTCTCCCCTCATCGGCAACTACTGCGGCTACAAGATCCCAGAGGACATCAAGTCCACCGGAAGGCACCTCTACGTCAAGTTTGTCAGTGACGGCTCCGTGCAGAAGGCGGGATTTTCTGCCACTTTTGTCAAAGGTTAGGCTAGCCACGAGTTCCTGTCGACGTTCTATAAGCCCAAGCGTACATGGGGCTGAACATCTTAATGTTCTCTTGAATGTTCAAATAATTGAACAAATGAGTTTCTTTTTAATTTTTTTGTTTTGTTTTGTTTTGTTGGGTTTTTGATGATTTAAAAACAAATTGTTTGGGGATTGTTCTGGTTCTGATATTGTTTTGTAAAACTTAAGCATTTGTAATTTGCATAAACTTATTCGCAATTGCATTATGACTATGTCCTTGATTACAGTTGTCATCATTGAGTACAAGGTTTTTTTGGGGGGAAATTATTAGTTTTGCATTATATTTGATAGAATTATTACATTTCTTTTGAAATTGGATGATACGATAATCTCTCTTTGTCTCTCTGTTTCTATTTTCTCTCTCTTTCTCTCCCTCTCTCTCTCTCTCTCTCTCTCTCTCTCTCTCTCTCTCGCTCTCTCTCTCTCTCTCTCTCTGGTCTATCTGTCTATCTATCTGTCTATCTATCTGTCTATCTATCTATCTATCTCTCCCTCTGTTTCCCTCCCTCTCTCCATCTCTCTCCATGCCCCCTGGCCCACCACCTCACCCCACCATTTTTTCCCTTCAGAACGTAACGATCCCGAAATATTGATATTATGAAGAGTTTTTCCAGAGACCCCATCATTCTGTTGTGTCCTCCTCAGAGTACAACGAGTGTGAGAAGGAGGAGCATGGCTGTGATCACGTGTGTGTCAACACCCTGGGCAGTTACCGCTGCTCCTGTAGGATCGGCTACGAGCTGCACTCTGACGGCAAGAGGTGTGAAGGTCAGTGGTCCCAAGAGGGGACAAAAATGGGGAGATGGGCGGTTGGGGGGTGTTTTACTGTCTTTGGTGAACTTCAGGATGGATTTATTTCATTTTTGGTGTTTATTTGTTGTAGTCCCTGGTCTTGTCTTCTCTTCTCTTCTCTTCTCTCTTCTCTCTCTCATTCTCTCTCTCTCTCTCTCTCTCTCTCTCTCTCTCTCTCTCTCTCTCTCTCTCATTCTCTCTGTCTCGCTATCTCTGTCTCTCTCTCTGTGTCACTCTCTCTGTCTTTCTATCTGTCTCTCTCTCTCTCTCTCTCTATCTATCTATCTATCTATCTCTCTCTCTCTCTCTCTCTCTCTCAGTCTATCTGTCTGTCGTGTGTGTGTGTGTGTGTTCCTGTCTCCCTGCCTGCCCATCTCCCCCCCCCCTCTCTCTCTCTCTGTCTCTCTCTCTGTCTCTCTCTCTCTCTCTCTCTCTCTCTCTCTCTCTCTCTCTCTCTCTCTCTCTCTCTCTCTCTCTCTCTCTCTCCCTCTCAAACAAACTACAGCCACCAAAACATTTTTAAATAGTCAATGACAGAAGTCTCAAGTCTGTATAATATAAACCAGAAATATCACGACAGACCCCCATCCAAGTTAGTAATCAAGCTGGGCCAGTGGTAGACCGTCATCTAAACTAGAAACACCGCAGTAGAACTTCAACTAAATCAACACATAAAGAGAAGCGGATCGACACAATGTCTATCAGTAGGTGATGCAATAGAATAACTAAGACAGACGGAAACAACAGAAGGAAAACTCATACCAAATGAAAGAAAAGATGTAGGAGCTACCAGTAACCCCATCTGACCGTCCACTTGGTATTGTTTAAACTGTCCTGTTGACTTACTTTCCTAGCATCGGGGTTTGTGGACATTTTTAAAAAAAAATTATTTTTTTTTTTTTTTTTTTT